TAATTAATTATTATATATATATATATATATATATATATATATATATATATATATAAAATAATAATTATATCAAAATACAAAATTTATTGTTTTTGATCTATTCAATGTTAAATTAACTTAAAATTAATATATATACATATAATAACTATATAATTAATTTAAATTAAATTAAACAATGATTCTTCTGTTATATGCAATAAATAAATAGTATTATTAAATTATTTCTTTAATAAAAATGCTTATTATTTTTTATAATATTTAATATATAATAAATATTTTATTACTTTTATTGATATATATTGATATATATATATAGATGAATATGAAAAAAATAGAAAATATAAAGAAAAAATAAAAAATGTTTAAGATTATGCATCTTGAGAAGCGTCTAGCATCTCTGAATACGAGTCTAATGTTGATAATCATGTGATTGACATGTAATTAACGCATGCGTGTGCACAGAACATCGTCAGAAAGATCTGTCACACCATCTGACATCATTGCTGTCAAAACAGGCAAAAATTGTTCCAATTTCATGGAACGACGCCATCTACGTCTAGATCATGAACTTCGTTCTTTTCCTTATATCCAAATTATCATCAAGATTTATTTATTTTGATCGCAATTTAATTTATTCTCTACTCTTATTTTTAGAGAATTGGAAAACATTAATCAGTAAAAATAAATAATATAGATATAGATATACATATTATGACCTAATAAATTATAATTATTCAAATATATTTATAGTGTCAATCAAAAAATTTATATCGACAGTCAGTAATATCGATACTCTGCAATTATTTCTAGGTTCTTTGTAATCACGAAAATTTCTCATAGAGTAAATAGTTTCCTTTTAATTCATGATTAGACAAAAGAAAATTACTAATGACTTATCGATCGTTGTTATATCTCTTTTTTCCGCAGTTCTTTCCGATTCTCGTCGCCAAGTCTCATTCAAGAGATCAAGACATCAAGAAGGAATAAAAGGTACAAAGTAAGTTATCAGCGAAGGCCATTTTCCTTCGGAGGCCGCAGCGGCGAGGATCGATCTCGCGTCTGCACACGTCGAACGGCGGCGTTACGTAGTGAACTTTCCGGAATAGTCGCTCGACTCCGTTCTATTCGGTCGATCTACGTCGTTCCCACGTATACCGGCCGATCGACCTCGGCTCGCAGTCGCGTTATTATCAAGCTTTATCCCTCGCGCGGCCCGAGGCGCGGTGCGATTTATCGCGCACTCCTTCCCCTTCCTTTCACCCTCTCCGCCGCCAGCCGAGCGGCACCGTTCCCTTTCTCTCTCGCTCTATTCCATCCTATTTCGCTTTTCGTGGGCTTTTCTGGATTCCCGCGGCAGGGCGCGGGTCACACGAGCGCGAACGCGAACGTGTACGATCGCAGATAGACCGTGCGCCGGGAACCGGAGACGCGGGACACCGTGCAAGAGATTGCCAGACGGTGGATAGAGCGAGCGAGCAAACGAACGAGCTGAGGCGCGCGCGCGCGCGCGCGCACTCGCGCTCTCGCGCGTGAGGGCTGAGCCGAGGCAAGGCAAGGCAAGGCAAGGCAAGGCAAGGTGAGACGAGGCGAGGCGAGACGAGGTGACGCGCGAGAGAACGGACGAGCGTGGCGTGCCGAGGGCTCCGGACTCCGGAGTGCGCGGCATGGAGACCCTCGAGTCGAGCCGCGTGTGCCGCCTCTGCGGCCAACATTCGGGCATCTCGATCAACATCTTCGACAAGAGTGAGAATCACCTTCGGAAAATCAACGCCGTGCTGCCGATCATGGTACGTCATGTCTTCTCTTTTTTTCTTCTCTCTCTCTCTCTCTTACTCTCTTTTTCCTTCTCTCCGTCGCTCTTTCCCGTTCGAGCGCTCGTACGCACGCACGCAAACGTAGATCCGTTTCCTTCCTTTCTTCGCGCCCTCTCCCTCCTCCTCTTCCTCCGCCGTTTCTTTCACCAGCCTGCGCTCCCCTTTCGCGACGCTCCCTTCTCTGCTTCGAAGGGTATCGCGGCCTCACGCATGTTGCATCTCTCGTTCGCCCTTGCACAACCCAAGGCGGGATCGGCGCGTAAAGCGCGCACCCTCACTCCCTCCTGCCCCTCTTCTTCTCCTCCTCCTTCTACCCGACCAACTCATTACGAAATGCGAGTTTATTTTCTCTTTATTAGCCATGCTTCGCGCAGTAGCTATCTCATGGGCTTTTTCCTTCTTTTTCTTTGTTTCCTCCCTTCGTTCGATATTGGGAGTCTTTTTCTAATTGTTCCTGTGCAAAACGTGGCGGAAAAAAAGAGGAGAATGGAACTTCCGCGTTCGCACGACTAGTTGACGAACGAGAATACCGCGAATCTCGTGGCAAAGGGGGAAAGGGGAACTAGGAGGATGGGGGTATCCTTTACGCGAACGGGGCACGCGTGGCTGATCACGTGCGAGATCAAGGCATTGGGTTTCCTCACAAATTCAACTTTTTTCTTTTTTTGGCAAAACTATCGATTTGTCAAAAGTGAGGTTATCGTCAGGTCTGCGCGAAACGAGCGCGCTCCGAAATGTCGAGAGCGCAGATTATATTGCATAATTCAAGAGAAAAAGAGAGAAAAGAAAGAAAAAAAAGAGAGTGTGAGAGAGAGAAAGAGAGGGCGGGAGAGAAGGAAGGAGGGATGATTTCATCGATTCCTTAGATCATGAGAGAGTTTTGCGACGCGGATGTTTCGGATTTCTCCGCTTTCTTCAAATTCTTCTTCAAATTTTCTTCAAATTTTTCTTCAAATTTTCTTCTTTCTCTTTAGTGTCTTGCTGTTTTTAAAATTGTTTGAATTTTTTAAAATATTTTATTAACTATTATGGTGCCTCTTTTATTTCCTTCGAGTTTATATACATTTTTTTATTTTTTCAGGAATGTATCTGATTTTATCTATTTAGGAGAATTATTTATAGAAACATTTGTATTGAAATATAGATATATTACAATTATAAATGCATTTTAAATGTATTAAAATATATTAAATGTAGAGATGCTTATATATATTTATTTGTTTTAATATCGCAATCGTATCTGGCGCAATTTTTCATATCATTATTTTTTGTAGAAAATTAAAATATATATCATAGTTTTTTAAGTTATAAATTTAAATATTATGTTGGTCTTATTTTTTAATATTTTTTCAAGACAGCGTGAGACGCATGTTTGGCGCCATTCTTTTATTTTTTCTATAATGATAATTTTGTATGTGATAATTTATATTTCTGAGAACCTATTGTATTTTTGTACTAATGTTTTAATCGACATTTAATCGACATATTTTTCGTTGTAAATAAGTTACACTGGAAAAATACTGATTTTTGGAAATAATTGGACTGATCATAAATTATTGAAAATAGAAAGTTATAAATTTTAAACCGGTATATCTTTATAACATATTCATTGAGAATCTTTCATGTAATTTTTTTTTAATTTTGGGTACATAAAAATATGAAAAAATTCAAAATTTGATTCTTCATTAACTCTAGACTATTCAAAAAACATGTAAATTTAAATATTACTACAAGAGTTTATAAAGTAAAAAAGTTTTCTTAGAGTTAAAATGTAAATTCAATTTTGTTTTTCTTAATTTTTAATGTATTAAGATTAGAAATAAATATATATATATATATATACTAAAATACTAATATACTAAAAAATAAAAAAGAGAAAATTGAATTTATATTTTAACTCTATGACAATTATATATATATATATATATGTAT